ACTTCCTCCATAGGGCCAGCTGCCTGCCGTAGCGCCGCTATGCCCAGGGCAGGCGCCCCTGAGCCGCCTCTGCCCCAGGCCCACCCCCCGGCCTGCCCCCGCTCCCGCCCATTCCCTAAACCCCTGCGTCGCAGCAAGGAGAGCGACGGGCACGTAGGAAAGGCGGTGGAGGAGGGCGGGTACGATGTGGTGGGGGGCGCCTTTGAGCTGGGAGACGTGTCTTTCCACTCGGGCTGGTGCTTCCACAGGTGATAGAGCCTGCCTGCTGCTGCCCGCCTGCCTGCCTGCCTGCCCTGCCTGCCCTGCTGCTGCCCTGGCCCCGCCTGCCTTCTGCCACGCTGCTACTCTGCCTGGCAGCGCATGTCTCGGGCGCACGCCGGATTCTACCTGTTTGCCCTGCTGGCACCACCCTGCCCTGCCTGCCTGCCTGCCTGCCGGATGTGTGTGCCCAGCCTGCTCTGCCTGCGCGCACCCCAGCATGCCCCGCTGACCCTCCCCCAGGGCACACCTTCACCTGCTGCCACTGCCGCCGCCTGCTGCCACTGCTGCCGTCGTCGCCGGCTGCTGCTGCAGGGCCGACGAGAACACGAGCGGCGAGTGGCGCAACATCATGACCATGATTTACATGGATAAGCAGATGAGGTGTGTGCGGCGGTCGTGAGTGTGTGTGTGGTGGTGTTTGTGGTGTTGGTGGTATGGTGGTGTGTAGGTGGTGAGACAGGGCAGCCCCCCTGCCCTCGCCCGCGGTCCACACCTTCATGCTCAGCTCGGCCAAGTGAGCTCAGCCCTGCCCTGGCGCCGTGCCCGTGCCCGTGCCGCGCCCGGCGCCGCCGCCGCCGCGTGTGCTCCCGTAGGATGGTGGAGCCGCGCAACGAGAACCAGCGCCTGGACCGGGAGCGCTACCTGGAGGGGGTGTCGCCCGGGGAGGTGTGCGCCGGGCCGCGCAACCCGCTGCTGTGGGAGCGGGAGGCGGAGGGCTGAGCGGGGGCGCGGCCAGGCACACAGCCGCTGGCAGCAAGAACCGCGGAGGCGCTGCTGCCGACATGCGGCGGCTCGGCTCGGGAGGGCAGTTGGCTGCCAATTTGCATTTGAAATGCAGCAGGGGGTAGGTCAGGCCAATTGCTGCGTGACACATCAGCGCAGGTTCTGGTGTGTCGTGTGACGAGGTGGCCATGGGCACCACAGAGAGGGCGCAGAACAGGAGGAGGATGAGTACGCATCGGCGGCGGGAGCAGGACGGCGGCGGCGGGGCGGGACAAAGGTAGGGCGTGGCCACACGCCCTTGCGGCATCGAGGGAGCAAGAATTGCAGCGATCACAAGCGAAAACATTCGTCAGAGTGGGCAGACGGCGGTTCTGAGCTCACGTCCCATCGTTCGATTAGCGACGAGAGAGCTCCCACATGGACAAGGCGACTGCGCAAACCCGCATGCCGCGATGCAGCGCCATCCATGGCGCCGCCGCCCTCCGAGCCCTAGCCCCGCCCCGCCGCCGCCCTGGCTCAGAAACGTCGCGGCACGCGCGTGCGCGAGCCCGACGCCGCTGGCGCGGCCGCCGTGGCGGGCGCCTCAGGCACCTTGCGCACGGAGCTCACCCGCGCGCTGCTGCTGCGAGATGTGGCGGGCCTGCGGGCGCTGCAGGCGCGCTGCAGGCCCGCAGACCTCTGGTTCACAGAGCCGATGTCGGTCTACCATGCCGCCGCGCTTTCCGATTGCCATGAGGCCATCCCGCTGCTGCTGGCGGTGGGGGCGCCCATCTCCTGCTCCCACGCGGCGCACCCCAGCCCAGACTACGCCGCCGCATTCAGCAGCGTCGTGGAGCGGCCCAGGCAGGGGTGCATTGCGGCGCTGGCCAACAACGCCCTGGCGGCCGCCGCCATCCTGGGCCACGTCGGCAGCACGGCGGCGCTGCTGGCGGCGGGCGCGGGCGTGGACGTGGGCACGCACTGGTACACGCCGCTGGAGAGCGCCGCCGTCAACGTGGGCGAGTGGGCGCCGCGGGACGCAGAGGCCATGATGAGGCTGCTGCTGGAAGGCGGCGCCGACCCCACGCGCCTGCGCCTGGAAGAGGCCCTGGAGCCGTGCTGCGCTGCAGAGGGCGGCGCGCCGGGGCGCCTGCTGCTGGCCGCGCTGCGGCGGCGCTCCGAGGCGGGGCTGCTGGGCTGGCCGCTGGAGACTGTGGAGGCGAGCGAGGCGCTGTTCAACGGCATCGGGCTGGCAGACGCGGCCGACAGCCTGCCCCACTTTGCTGAGCTGGCAGAAGAGACGCGCTTCATGATGTGCAACCTGGACGTCGCCGCCCTGGCCTATGCGTTGCTGGAGGCGGCGGCCGAGAAGGGCAGCAGCCGCGTGCTGCAGCTGGCGGTGCACGGCGACGCGGGGCCGGGCGGCGCCGCCTGGCTGGAGCCGCCGCCGCCGCCCGGCAGCGAGGCCGCGCGGCAGTTTCTGGCGGGACCGTACCGCAGCCTGGGGCCGGACCTGCTGCCGATCGCGGCCGAGAACGGCAGGGGCGAAGCGGTGGGACTGCTGCTGCGGGACGGGCAGCCGGTGCCGGCGGCGGTGTTGTGCGGCGCGGTGCGTGGCGGCAGCCTCGACGTGTTGGAGGCGCTTCTGGAGGCGGGGCACCCCGAGGTGCCCACCTCTGCTGGCGCTCTGACGTGGCACGGCACGGTGGAGCTGCCTGGAGCGCGCTACACCTGCCCCATCCTCACAGCCCTGCAGGCCCGCATCGAGCTGGTAGGCTGCGGCTGCTGTGCTGTGTGCTGCGGCTGGGGCTGCTGTGCTGCTGCGACTGCTGCTGCTGCTCCTGCGCCCTCTCAAGCTTTACTCGGTGTGGGCAGGGCAGGCATGTTTTGGCCTGCCCTGAACTTGCTTCTGCTTGTCTTTGGATCAGAGCATGCACAGCCCACCTCGCTGCTTGCTTGGCTGCAGGAGCGCAAGGATAGGGAACGGCAGCAGCAGCCGGAAGAGGAGGGCTGGGTGCTGCGGTACAACTCAGCCAGGGGCGGCTGGACATCCAAGCCGCCTCCCGGCCAGAAGAAGCGGCAGGAGGAGGAGGCTGGGGAGCGGGGCGCTACCGCCTGGGATGCCAAGCTGCTGCCGCTGGTGGAGCGACTCGTGGCGGCGGGCTATCGCCCCAGCGTGTATGAGAGCGTCTCTGTGCGCACCAGGGGCAGCGCCGCTCGCATGCTAGAGGGGTTTGACCCTGCCGAGGTGGACACGAGCTTGGAGGTGGAGGGGCGGGGCACGTGAGCGCCGCCTTGCAGCACGGGCGGCATGCACGGGGGCTAGCGGCGTTGCTTGTGGCGCGCTGCCTCCTGCTGTGATTGCTGCATGGAGCAGTCTAACCGATGCGTGGCCTGCCTGCAGGTGGCTGTGGATGGCCGCCCAGCAAGCCGCGTAAAAGCTTCCATCGCCGGGCGCCGCCCTGGATGCATGCTGCACACGTGGCACGCGCCCCGCGCCCCATCATCATCGCTTTCACACCCTGTCCGGCCGCTTGCCGTAAATGCAGCGTGATCGGTGCTTGCACTCTACACACACTCTATAGAGTGGACCACTGCACTCGCCAGGAGGTCGGCGACTCAAGAACTCGACTACGCTACCGCAGCGGGCTGCGTGCCTTTCCCAACAGGTGGATCTTGACGTGCGTTGCTATTCCGCTCGTACTAGCGGGAGCATCTGTGCATACACATAGGGGCATCTGCGCGCAGCGCGAGCGAGGCTGACGCCGTCAGCTTTCTGCACAATGTCGGTGCTGGCAACACCTACGCCATTCCCCGACACCTTCCATCCCCCTCTGCAATGGTCGAGTCTCCAACCTGTGCCGCCGCCTGCCGCCGCCATCGGCTGCGCCCCCCTCGCCTGCAGCACACAGCCCCAGCCATGGCAGTCCGCCAAGTGGCGCTGGCCCTCGCCCTCCTGGCTCTTATCACTCTGGGTAAGCGAGCCCCCGCTGCCCGCCTGCCTGCTGCCGCTGCCAGGTGTCGTGCCACCACGCCGACGACACACGCACCCCGCTGGCTGGCTTCTGTTGTGGTATATATGTATGTATGCATTATATGCAGGCGAGGCGGCGCGCGTGCCCGGGCTGCCGTCGTGGGCCAAGGACCCCAAGGCCGCGCGGTGGCGCGCGTACCGCTACAAGCAGCTGGACAAGACGCGCGCCAAGATCGCGGCCATCAACCGCAGCGGTCAGCGCCAGGACTTCCTCCTCTACGGCTGCTCCGTCGTCACGCTGCTCGACCGCCAGCGGTCGTCCCCCGGCGCCTGGGACGACCACTTCGGGCGCGGCTGGCGCGCCACCGCCATGGGCATCTCCGGCAGCGACGTGGCGGACGTGGTGTGGCGGCTGCTGGCCGGCGGCGAGCGCCCCGCCAAGGACCCAAAGGTCATCGGCTTTCTGATGGCCGGCCACGACGACCTGGACGGCCACAAGGAGATGGACTTTCTGCTGGGTTGGGTGCGCGCGGCCATGCCCGGCACCAAGGCCCTGCTCATGGGCATCCTGCCCTTCCGCGGAGTGGACCTGCGGCAGGTCAACAAGAAGTATGCGCAGGTGGCCAAGCGCAACGGCGCCACGTTCCTCGACTGCGGCCGCTTCTACGACCCGACAGACAAGCGCGTCAGCTACGACTACGGGCACCCCACGGTGGCGGGGCAGAAGATCATCCTGGACTGCATGCTGCCGGTGGTCAAGAAGCTGGCCCGCAAGTGAGCCTGGCCGCGCCCCGCTGGCAGGCCGGCTGCACCATATGGTCCACATGCACATGGGCCGCGAGACGGGCCGCCTGCTCTGCCATGTCGCCCTCGTGATGGCGACCACGGCATGCACATCACAACACAAGGTTCTTCCTGATTTATACCACGCATTCCTTATACTGTGCATAACTGCCATAATAGTGAGCTTCAGCCCCTGTGTAAGCCTCCCTGGACAGGCAGCTGCACCGGGCGAGGGGCGCCAGGCGCTACCAATTGCAGTGCATGGCCAGGCATGCTGCGGCTCCTGCGGCTGCGGCTGTGGCTGCGGCTGCTGCGCTGGCCATCACTTGATGCAATTATTACATCACAACAGGGGGCTGTAATGGGCCCCAAGTGGCTGGCGATGCCACGTCTGTCTGAACAACGTCATGTGAGAAAAGTGCATGTGCAAGTGCTGATGGGGAGCGCTGGAAGAAGTGTTTGGCAGCAAGTACTCAACAATAGGACGTCATGGATCGGTACAAGAGGCAAGGTAGGAATCGATCGCTGGGTAACTTCGGGTTGAATTCAAAGTGAGTGTTCGCTAACTACCGGCATTGGCAGTTGAGGCATGGTGCGAAACACCAGCCGCTGCCTGTGCGGCAGTGGTGGCTGCCCAAGGGCTATCGAATAGGAAGCAGCGCCGCAGACGTGCCTGGTTAGCGGCTGGCGCCCGCGCGAGGCTGCGAGCTGGCGTCATCTGCGACGGCGCTTTCGTGCGCAGGTCCTGCTGCCGTCAAAGCGCCCACGCCGCTGAGAGGCTCGGTGGTGGCATCCGCTGCTGGTGACGGCTGGAAGTGCGCTGCAGCTGCTGCTGGCTGGGTGGCACCCTGGAGCTGCTGCTGCTGCTGCTGCTGGCCAGATGGGGCTTCCTCCCGCTGCCGCTTGCGCTGCTGCTGCTGCTGCTGCCTGTGCTGCGGCGGCGAGTGCAGATGGGGCGGGGGTGGGATGGCAGCTCCAAAGTCGAGCGCTCGCTGCACCAGAGGGCTGACCATGCCGCCTGCGGCAGCCACTGGGTCGTGAGAGAGCAGGGCACGTGCGTAGGTCAGTGAGAAGCAGATGGACAAGGGAGCAGACAGCTGGGGCCAAATCTATCAGCAGCGACACACGTTCAGCAAGCATTGGCGGCAAGAGACCACAGAGCTGGGCAGGGGCATGCCATCAGCAATCACATGCGTTGCGTCGTGACGAGCTGCTACCTGGCAAGACACGGTGCAGGCGGCACACGGCAGGCAGGTGGGGCCTCACCTGGGGTCCGAAGGCGGTCTGCCTCCTTCCTGTCTGGTGCGCCCATCGCCGCGCCTGGGCGACCCCTTGCGACCAGGAGCGACTGCGGCGGCGTGTGGTCTCCCGCAGCCGCCGCATGGCCCGCCGCCTGCTGCTGTGGCGACGGAGGATACGAGAGGGCGGCCGAGGGGCGGGGTGGAGTGCCTACTGGCCCAGGCCCCGGCGCCTGCGTCTGCTGCTGCCGGGCCGCTCGGATGGCCAGCGCACGCTGGCGGTTGGCCTCTGCGCGCTGCCGCTGCTCGGGCGTCAGCTGCAGTGGCTGGGAGGTGGGCTGAGAGCCCTGCTGCGGCCCAGGCGGGAAGGATGGCTGGGAGCCCACAAGCCGCCACTGCCCAGGGACCTGCTGCTGCTGCTGCTGCTGCTGCTGCTGCTCGGAGGGAAGGACGCCGTGCTGGCTTGCACGCAGCGGCTGGCCGGCCGCCGCCGCCGCCGCTTCTGCCTGCTGCTGCCTGGCTGCTCGTATGGCCAGGGCGCGCTGTCGGTTGGCCTCTGCGCGCTGCCGCTGCTCGGGCGTCAGCTGGACCTGGCTGATGGGCGACACAGGTTGTGCCGACTGCCACAGCGCTTGCTGCTGATGATGATGCCGCCGCTGCTGCTGCTGCTGCTGCTGTGCAAGTCCGTGGGTCCCAGCAGCAGCAGCTGCTGCGTCTGCTGCCTGCGGCGCCTGCGCCTGCGCCTGCTGCTGGCGGGCTGCTCGTATGGCGAGCGCACGCTGGCGATTGGTCTCTGCGCGCTGCCGCTGCTCGGGAGTCAGCTGCAGCGGCTGGGCCGGCGGCGCCGTTGCCGGCGAGACTGCTGGCTGGGGTGCAGCTGGCGGCGCGGAGGGCCCAGCCTGCTGCTGCTGCTGGCTTTGCGCCAGCAGCGCTTGCGGCGGCGGCGCCAGGGCCTGCATTGGGGGCTGCTCCACAGTTTCCTGCTGCGACATGGGCAACGGCTCCAGCCCCGCCTGCTGCTCCTGCTGCGCAGCCCGCCAGGCCGCATGCTGCACCTGCTGCACATGCCGCGCCGCCTGGCGCGCCAACTGGCGCCCCCAGTACCGCTCGTCCGCCTGCCAGCTGCCCAGGCCCGAGCTGTGGGCAGCGTCGGGCGGCAGCGGCTGCTCCGGGATGTGCACGTCGTCGCCATCAGAGTAGAGGGGGCCGCTGGCATGCGGTGCCAGGCTGGCGGGCCGCCACTCGTCCTGAGACTCTGTCAGGCCCTGCTGCTGCTGCTCCTGCGCGTGCCGCTCCGCTGCTGCCAGCACCCAGTCGAGGGAGGGAGGGCTGGAGGTGGGCAGCGGACCACGGGCGGGGAGGGCTGCGGCAGCAGCCACAGCTGCCGCGCCGGCTCCAACAGCTGCCGCCGGCGCCGCATGCTGCTGCTGTGCCGCCTGCTGCTGCCCCACTGCACCTGCTGCCGCCGCCAGCAACGTTTCCGGTGGCGGCAGGCTTGGGGGCACCACGGCTGCAGGTGGGAGCAGAGGGGTTGAGGGCGAGGTGTCTTGGGTGCCTCTGTTGGAAAGGCACTGCCGTGGCAGGCTGCTGGCGCTGCTGGCTGGTTGCTGAGCCTCGGGCGCGGCGCCAGGGCTGCAGGGCATACAGACAGCGCGTGCGTGAGGGGTGATAGGAGGTTTCTGGGCTGCGCTCCTGCCGGGTAGGAGGGGCAGGGTCATCCAGGGTACCGCCGGGCCGGTGAGGTGCCAGCGGCGGCGGCCACCAAATGCTTCCGCGGCAGCGCACCTGCCCGGGACTGGATCCATTCGTCTCATGCTGCGATCTCAATCAATCTTACTGACAGCACAGAGGCCGCAGGGGCGAACAGGGGGAGGGGGACGACGGTGCACGTTTTCCCCTTGTGTCGGCGCTATCGTTCGCCTTGCGGCTTGCTCGTGAGCCACCCACACAGCCCATGTTCACGTGTGTCGGGTATCGAAGGGAGCCCGGCCCTGAGCGAGCCAAGAGCAAAAGTTCAAGGGCACGAGATAGGGGGAGCGCCAGCGCGCCTGCACCCCGCACGACCTCCTGTCTCGGATGATTGGCAATTGGGTACGACCCGCAGGGGTGCCGGAGCAAACACGGGATTGCCCTTGGCCATGGGGATCCGAGCTGGCGATCAATCGCGCGCCAGACCGCGGCGTGGGCTCTCACAAGGCCAGAAGGGGATGCACAGCGCCAGGGAGCCACCAGGGGGGCAGATGTGCAGCGAGGAGGGGCCAAGCCAGAGGGGTGGCTGGAGCCGGCGAGCGGCTACTGCCGCCGCCGCTGGAAGCGCTGCTTGCTCTGAAACTTGAGCCCTTCATTGCCCCAGCTGGTCCACCCGCTGTGCAGCTCCCGGGCAAACATCTGCAGAGCACGTGGCAGCAGCACACAGGGTTGGAACAGGCATAGGCATGCACGGTCATCGACGCGGTGCATGCCGGCAGTACTGCAGGCCCTTGCATGCAGGCTGTCGAACCTTGCACCTTGCGAGGCCAGCCCCCACGCACCTCAAGGCAGCGAGCGCCGTCGGGCAGCAGCGGCAGCAGCAGCGGGCCCAGGTGCGGCTTGCGGCTGTGGGAGGCGGGCGGCACAGCCACCACCACCAGCGGCTCTCGCAGCACGTGAAAGCAGCTGCCGCCGCTGGCATCACCGCCGGCAGCAGGCGCCGCCGGCGCGCCAGGCGGGTCAGGCAGGTGGGCGGGCCAGCACAGCAGCAGCGACTCGTACGGTCTTCGGTGCTCTATGTCCTGCATGCAAGGGAGCAGGTGGGACGCCCCGCCAGCAGCGGCCAGGTTGACCTCAGCTGGCTGGCTGGTGGCAAGTTGGATGGCTGCTGGGGCCAGCCACCAACGCTAACGCCAGCCAGGGTGCCTCCCAAACGCGGCGGGCACGGCAGCTCGTCTCAGCAGGCGCTTGCCACCGAGACAGGGCGGCGCTGGGGATTCCTGATGCACCATGCCACACTAGTGCCACGCGACTCCACTCACCAGCCGGCCCACGGGCTGGCCGCCGTCTGTGACCTTGAGCCAGTGCCAGGTGGCCAGGTGGCGCAGGCCCCACCCCGGCAGCAGCTCTGCGGCAGCGTGGGCAGGAGGCAGGAAAGCAGGATTGGGCAGGCTGAGAAACCGCTGGGCCGGCCTCTCTGGCACCTGGCGGAGGCGCAGGCGGCGCCTGGCGGGTTGGCCAGGGCATGGCTTTGCCCCAGCCCGCTCGCCTCCCCCCGGCGGGCGCGCATGCATACACGCATGCGCTGCCGCCTGCCTTGCTCGATGAAGCGGCGGTGGCGCTCCCGGTTGGTCACCCACATCGCCACCAGGCAGCCGCCCTGCGCAGCACACAGGCAGGGGCCAAGAGGGCAATGGCTTGAGGGCATGCAGAGGCCCAAGCCAGGCCGGGCCGGGCATCGCCAGAGGAGGCCGCGGGCAAGCTGCAGCCATGTTCAGGAGAGGGACTGCGGAGTGCCACAGCCAGCGACGGGAGTGGGGTAAACTCCCTGCCTCGGGGGCCAGCCAGGCAATGCAGCCACCCCGGGCACCTCCCTCGCCACGCCAGGCAGCACAAGGCGTCTGCCGCCGGCGGCCCCCCCGGCAGCCACGCACCGCGTGCATCAGCTGACGCAGCGGCAGGGCCAGCAGGTTGCGGGAGGGGAGGGTGGGGTAGCGGGCGGAGCGCTTGGCCGACTTGTTCTCCCATGGAGGGTCCAGAAGGATGCACTGGTAGCCGCCGATGGCTGCGCAGGGGCGTGGCCAAGTGGGCGGCAGGTTGTGGTTGTTCAGGTGGTTGATGGGTCGAATGATCAGGTCGGTGGGTAGCAGCAGAGACCAGACTTTGTTCTGGCAAGCAGATGCCTCCAGATGAATGGCACCAGGCCACCCCCTCGCCTGCTGCCACCGACCTGCCACGTCGTCCACCAGCGGCTGCAGCTGGCGGGCGTCAGACAGCAGGAGGCGGCTGCGCGGCGGCAGCACCACTGGGTGACCCCCCGCCCACGCCCGCCGCTCGGCGGCGCCGCCGTCCCCGCCGGGGCAAGCGATGAGGCGGTTGAAGAGGTTGGGGGGTGGCGCGGGTGGCACCGACGGGGCGGGCGGCTGCTGCACGTCCTGAGGCATGCCGCCGTGCGGCGCTGGCTGTGCCTGCCGTGCGCCTTCTGCTGCTGCTGGGGCCACCGCAAAGCGCAGCTTGGGCTTGAGGGCGTGCCGCAGCTCATACATCGCCACATAGTCTGGCTCTGCTTGGGAGCTGCCGTCGTCAGAGCTGCTGCCGCCGCTGCTGGTGCTGCCTCCCTCCTCGCCTGTGGCACCAGCCTCCGCCTGCTGCTCCTTATACTGTCCCTGCTGCTGCTGCTGCTGCTGCTGCTGGACCTGCCCCGTCTCTCTACCACCTGCCGCTCCTACTGCCGCACCACCCAGCGCCTGCTGCAGCGTGGCAGCCCCCAGCACACTCAGCCACTCCTGTACCGCTGTGGCGGCCGCCGCCAGCAGTGGCGCGTACTCAGCGTGCCGGGCAGCTGCCTGCTGCTCCCGCTGGTTTGGTTGGTAGTTGGTCGAGCTGCTGCGCACCCGCTTCCTGCGCTGGCGGATGCTGCCGCCATCGGGCTGGGCTGCCGCTACCGCTGCCGCCGCCGCCGCCGCCGCCGCCGCCGCCGGCTCAGTGTCGGCTCTAGGGGAGCCTGCAGCGCCATCCCGCGCCTCTTCCGGCGTTCCGCTGCGACTTCTGGGGGCCTGGTAGGGCGCCGCCAGCGAGAAGTCCGCTCGGCGGGGAGCGAGCCACATGTAATCGGCGGAGACGGCGTGCCAGGGGTCCAGCACGACCACTCCAGGTGCCGAAGCTATGAACTGCATCCAGGAGAATGGCAGCTGTGATGGGGAGGGCCACCAAGTTCTGCCGCCGCCCCGCTGCGCCTGCTGTGGCCGGCGGGCAGCTCAGACTCTGCCTTTGCTGCAGCTTTGCTCAGCCTAAGCCTAATCCAAGTTGGCGTAAAAAGGGCGTTACAGGGTTCAACAGGTACAAGGGGCCCAGCGGAGTCTGCGCTCCAGTGAGCCGGCAACAGCGAGCGAACGGCGTTCCTTTAAACTCGAGGAAAGCAGAAGGACCCTGGTGGAGTTGGAGGGAAGGCCCGGTGTTGGAACAAACAGCGTTGCAGCATTGTAGAGTACACAGAGGCAGTAAAATGCAGAGCATGCGGCCGAGGAGGCTGGGAGGGTGGCCCAGGCCGGCGGGCTCACACCTACACCTCGACGCCCAGCCGCCGCAGGGCGGGCTCGCCCCAGCGCAGGCGCAGCATGCGCCAGCACCAGCCGCGCCGGTAGCCGCGCTCCGCCGCCAGGCGCACCAGGTTGTCGCGGTGCTGCTGCACATCCTCCTGCCGGGGGTCTGCCAGGAACTTGGCCACATCCCAGCCATTGCGCACATTGAACAGCATGCGGTCTCGGTGCAGCACCTGCGGTGCATACGGAGCGGCGGCGGCGGCGGCGGCGGCGGCAGGGCGGCGTCAGGGGAGCGCCAGGGCATGGGCGCGGGGGGCGCGGGGTGGGTGGGGCAGGCGACGGAAGGGCTTGGCATGGCCGGCGCAGGCACACCACACGGCCAAGCCCAGTCACAACAAGCTCACTCACGGCCGTTCAACCCTGGCACCCGACCCACAACCCCACTATTATATGCATTGCACAGGCGTGCATTGCACAGGCATGCACTGCACACGCCTGGTTGGGCCACAGGATGTCTTCCTCGTCCGCCGCCACCCCGCCCACCACCCCCACAAAGTAGTTGCGCCAGGCGCCGGCCGCCTCGTCGGCGCCGCCAAACGCCATGCCTGTGACGGAGCAGAAGGGGGCGATGTCTGACGACAGCCGCCCCACCAGGTCTGGCAGCAGCGGGGTCACCGACTCAAACAGCCTGCAGAGTTTGGGCGGGGGTGCGGGGAGAGGGTGCGGGGAGAGCGGGGGTGAGGATGGGGATGCGAGGGGAGCAGCGATCAGGGAGGGTGGGCTGCAAAGGCATGCAGGGAAGGCAAGGGCTGGTGCGTTGGCGTTCAGCAGGCGGCTCAGGCAGGCGCGCAGCCGGCCTGTGCAGGCCTGCAAAGCGCTGCATGCGGCGAGGCAGGCAGGCTCCCCGGCGGCCGCAGGGCAAGCGGGGCGGCTCACTTGGCGGGGCCGCCCTCCTCTGGCTGGTAGACTGAGATCCACAGCGGGCGCACGTCCAGGACGTCGTTGCCCACCCGCAGCTGCACCGGGCCCTGCAGTGCCGCCGCCGAGGCAGGGCCCGCGTCTCCCGCCAGCCCCGCTGCCGCCGGCCCCTGCCGCTGCTGCTGCTGCTGCTGCTGCTGCAGCGATGGCTGCGGCGGCGGCCGCTGGCGCTGGTGCGACCAGAGGGGCATGCCGTTGCCGCTGCCGCCGCCGCCGCCGCCGCCGCTCGCCGCGCCCGCCTCCTCCTCCTCTGGCGGGTGCGAGGCCAGCCACGTGAGATCGTCCAGCTCGCTCATGTGCTGCACCTGCAGCGGAGGCAGGTCCAGGCTGCCGCCGCTGCCGCACAGCGGGTCCGACACGCTCAGCTCGTTGCCGCAGCTGGCTGCGCCCTGCGCGCCGCCGCTGGGCTCTCCCGCCGGGGCTAGTCGGCCGGCCGGGGAGGAGGCTGGCAGCCCCGCGCTGCAATCGCCGTCGAATGCATCGCCGCTGGCCATCAGGGTCGCCACCTGGCGCTGGCGCTGCTGCTGGCGGCCGCGCGTGGCGTCGATCACCATGCGTCGCGCCTGCCGCAGCGCCTCCTGCTGCTGCCAGTGCGACAGCCAGGTGAGGTGCGGCAGGCCGCTGCCGGCGTGCAGGGCGCTGGAGAAGGCGGCCGCCGACAGGGCGCACGGCGGCGGCTCAACCGCCGGCGCTGTTGCAACGCTGGCGGCGGCGGTGGCTAAACGCCGCGACGGGTGTGCCCAGGGCTGCGGCGCCGCGCTGCTGCTGCTGCTGCTGCTGCGGGCTGCTGGGCGGGCCTGCGGCGGCGCCGACGCTGCCGAGCGCCCTGCCGCCGCCGCTGCTACCGCTCCGCGCGCTGGTGCGGCGTCAGCGACCGCGTGGGATGCCTTGTGCAGGGCTGCGGGCAAGGAGCAGCCACAGCAAGGGCCTAAGCGGCAGCCCGATCCTCAAAATGGCACAGGCGTAACATGCCGTAGCGGTGCTCACCTGCGCTGCGCTGCAGCATGGCGCCCGATAAGGCTATCAGAGCGTCTGCCCAGCTACTGGAAGCGCGACCTGGGCTTAGCATCTCCTGGGCGCAAGCCCCAGCATCTCGCAATAGGGGTCCTGCCCGGCGCCTGAGAGAGTCCTCGAGATCGGAGATGCAGACGAGCGGCAACCAGGGCACCCCAGCCCTATGTGGCCGACATGGAGCGCTTCCGCCAGCGAGGCCGGGAGGCTTGGGGCAGTGAAGTTGGTGCAGACAATGCTGCCTATGCTCTGTGCCTTTCACAGCTGCAGCAGATGATGGCGGGGGTCCATCTGCCTCACCAGCAGTATGGGATCGGCTTGCCGGCATTGCCCATGGCCCGCACGCCGTAGGAGCCCGCCGCCACCCTGTCGCCTCCCGTCCACAGACATGTGCATGAGGCCCGTGTGCGCCCCCTTTCGGCTTTCCTAGCATACCCGGCGTGTTTGCACGGCAGAGAGCGCATATTGGTCGTAGCAGCAGGCCCCAGCGTTACCCTCCAGCCTCCTCCCTCCACCAGGACCGGTTCAGCACCCTCAAATGGCAGCCGCATGCGCTGCTCCAGCCGGCAGGTATGCGCATTTGCGGCTGGAGTGAGGCACCGGCATTGCACAGCCTGGATAGGCACTCGGGGCGAGAGGTGTGACGAGCTGCTGCCCTGCCCCGCCTCCTCCCGCAGGCAGCCTATCGCCAGCTGCTCGGGGCGGGGCCTACTGCCAGCCTGTTGCCGCCGCCCACCGCTGCCGCCACCGGCAGCACGCCGCCTGCCCGCGACTGCCCGCCGTGCCGCACGCTGCGTGGCGGCGGCCGACGACGACGCGGGTGCAGGGCAGCAGGAGGAGCGGGAGTGGGGGCAGTCGGTCAAACTCTTCGACTTCAATTACATGAGTGCCGAGGAGGTGGCGGCGGCCGAGGCGGCGGCCGAGGCGGCCTGGCAGGCGGGCATGGATGAGTATGCCGAGCTGCAGGAGTGGCTGCTGTTCCGCACCTGGCGCTTCGGCCTGCTGTTTGCCGGCTACCTGCTGCTGGCGGCCTCGGCAGAGGTGGGTGCTTGCAGGGCAGCGGGCCACCTGTGCCGGCCAGCCTGCTGCGGCGAGAGGGCCGCTGCGCCCGGCAGCGGCCCATCCACCCTCTCAGCCTGTGCCTGCCGGGCCTCAGCTACTCGCCCTGCCTCCCCGCAGGCAGCGTTCTGTGAGCTGGTGGGCTCTGCCGCCGGGTATGGATACCTCAAGTGGCTCATCGCTGACGTCAGCAGGCTGCAGCCGGGGGACAGGGTGGCGATGCGGGAGGCAGGTGGGGCGCCTGCTATGCGTGGACGGCGTGCCGCGCGGGCGGCCGGGCTCGTTCGCTGGCAGGGCAGCGGGCCGTGGGGCATGCCCCAGCTGCTTTCGGGGACGCCGGCAGGCTCCCTTGCCGCTTGGGGTGCCAGCTGCCTCCCGAGGCGACCCCTCCGCGCCTGCCCTTCACCTGTGTCCTTCCTGCAGAGCGCGTGCAGCCTGTGCTGGCGCGCTGGGCCTCCAAGCTGGCCGCGGGCTACCGCCAGGCGCTGCAGCCGCGCCTGCTGGTGCTGCCGGGGCTGGTGGCGGGCGTGGCCGCCTGGAACGCCGCCTTCCCGGAGCAGCAGCTGGGCCTGGTGGAGCTCGGCTGCCTGGTGGCAGGCTTCCTCAGCTACAAGGTGCGCCCCGGGGGGTGGGTGGCTTTGGCGCTCGCGCTCAGCCAGCCACTTGTCGGCGGCGCGGTTGGTGCGCCAAGGCGCGCGCAGGCATGCCGGCCAGCCTGCTGTGTCGCCCATGCTTCGCTTGCAGTGGCTGCTGTGCTTGCCCCGCCCGCTCCGCTGCTGCTCACGCCTTCCGCGCACCTCTTCCTGCTATGTGCGCCGCTCCCCCTCCCCCTCCACACGCGTAGCCACACGCTCGCCATCACATATTCGCCCGAACACACAACTGACGCATATTGACTTACACCAGCACTTGTGCGCCCCTTTCCTCCCGCCCCTCCTCTCCTCCCAGGTGGCCTTGGCCCTCAAGATCTACCAGGACCTGCGCCCCAAGCCTCTGACCGAGAAGGACATCCTGCAGGAGCAGCGCCCCATGCTGGTGGAGGTGGAGGATGTCAGCATCGACCTGCGGGCGATTGGGCGCAAGAAGGCGGCGGCAGAGGCGGCAGAGGCGGCGGCGGCGGCGGCAGATGTGGGGGCAGCTGAGGAGGCGGCGGCAGAGGTCCGGCCGCAGCAGGTGCAGGCGCAGGCGCAGCAGCAGCAGCAGGAGCAGCAGCAGTCTCAGCGGGGGGCACAGTAAGGCGGTCCTCTGCTGCTCGTTGCCGCTCCTGATTCGGTTGCCTCTGCTCCAGCCTCCGCTCTGTGCTTCTTTCCTGTCTCTTTGTACACTTGTTCAGCTGCTCCACGTTTTGATGCTGCAATTTTGATTGGCTTCTCTTTTTAACCAGCTCGGCACTTGTTGGTTCATTGCTCTCTTGGGCGCCGGGTGCGAGCGGCGCCTGCCAGCATGGCCATGCGTACGCGGCGGGAACCGGTGCTGGCCCTCCTGCTGCAGGCGCCGCACCCCTCTTGCTGTTCTGCGTACACAGCGGGCTCTCCCAGTCTCTCCGGCGTATTTGTGCCGGCCAGGAGCTGCTGCGGAAGCAGGCCACCGCATCAGTCCCTCTCGTCACTCACGATCGTCCCCGCTCCATGCGCCTTTGCATCGTGTAGAGCGGCATAGATCTGGGTTTTCCTGCAGAACCCCGCTGCGCAGAGCACTGTGCGCACGCCCGGCCAAAGTCCTACCCCGCTTGCCTCCCGGCTCCCGAAGCCCAGCGCCGGGACTGCAATCGCTCTCCTGCCGCTGCGAGGCTCCTTAAGGCCTTGCAATCGCGATGCCAAGCGGCCGGCGCCCCTCGCTGCAGTGGCCCGCAGCATCTGTGTTGTGGCTCCTCGTCCTGGCGGTGTCGCCAGCGGCCGCGGTCCCCCGCGCCACTGTGCGCGCCTCCAGCGCGGCCTTCTCGGCGGCTGTGCGGGCCGTGGATGCCGAGGGCCGCCTGACGGTCACGGAGCTGTCGCTGGAGGGCGAAGGCGAGGGGTCAGCCCAGCTGGAGCTCACCCGCTTTGAGGTGTGGTCGCCGGACGCGACAGTGGTGCTGCAGGGCCCCGGCGGCGCGCCGCCGCACGTGCAGGGCCCTCCCAACACCGCCTACTTCCGGGGCCACCTGGCGGGCAGCCCCGCCTCGTCTGTGATGCTGGCGGTGCGGGAGGGTGGTGGTGCGAGCGGCATGGCCTTCCGCGGCGCCTCTGCCTGGGCCCTCGGCAAGCCCGCGGCCCCGGGGGCCTGCGCTCCGCCAAGGCGCGGCCGGGGGAGATGGTCAAGCCCCCGTTTGAGTGCGGCAACGATGATCACGGCATGCACGCCCATACCGACCATGCCGAGCACACCCATGCCGACGGCGATGACCCGCCGCTTGCCACCCGCAAGCTGCTACAAGTGGGCCCCAGGCGCCGGCCCCGCCAGCCCACAGCCAAAGCGGCGGCCATCCGTCCCACTACTCACCGTGTGGCGCACACACCACCACCACCACCACCACCACCACCCTGCCACTCACACGCCAATGCCTGCAGTCGGTCAACGACCAAGCGCTCACCACCACCATAGCGCTGGAGACCGACGCCGAGTTCCTGTCGCTGTTTGGCGGCAGCACCGCCGTGGCCACCGACTACGCGGGGGACCTTATCGGATGTGAGCCGGCTGGCTGCCGCCGGCGGGCTGATGTCCGGCGCATGCCCGCTCGCCTTCCCGATAACTGCGCACCGGCCGGGCGGGCTGCCCGGCACTCTCCCACCCCACCCACCTGCCAGCCAGATTCCCAGCTGACCGGCGGCCTGCCCGCTTACCTCCCCCTGCTTTCCTGCTCAGATGCTGACGTGGTTAACTCCCGGGAGATCAACACAGACATGCTGATTGGTGAGCCCGCCTGCCTGCCTGCCTGGCCCATGCCTGCCGCCAGCAATGTCAGAGAAGAAGGGTGCCGCTGGGCTGCAGCAGTCTCCTGCCCCCTACCACACATTCATGTCATATGACTCTCCCGCAGAGAGGCCCTGTGGCACTGCTGCCCCACCTCACCTCCTCTGCTGCTGCTGCCCCAGCTTACCTCCTCACCCTCTGCTGCTGCTGGCCCGCAGGCTACCTGCGGCTGTGGACGGGGGCTGCTTCCAAGGACCCCTGGCCCTCCACCTCCAGCACCCTCACCGCCCTCCAGAACTTCCAGGCCCACTGGAACGCCAACATGCAGGGCGTGGAGCGCAGCGTGGCGCACATGCTCAGCGGCATGTACACGGGAGGCGGCATCGCCTACATCGGCACGCTGTGCGACTGGCACGGCAACAGGGCGGGCAGCAACTCGTACGGTGAGCTTGGCTGTTCAGCAGCCGGCCTGTGCATCGCCGTCCTGCAGCAGCGAGCGCGCCGGCGCAGCGCAGCATGGCGCGCGCTGGGCCGTGTTTCCACCTGCCTGCTTGCCTGCCTGCCTGCAGGCTACTCTGGGGGGCTGACCGGCGGGTTCAACTGGAATGAAGTGCAGGTGCGTGCTGTGGTCATGCTGTGCTGCGCTGCGCTGCACGCCGTGCATCGCGATGAAACTCCTGCCCGCCAAACGCACAACACCGACGAGCATTCCGACGAGCGTGCCCCGCCCGCCTGGCCCCTGCCTGCGCGCCCGCAGACCAGCAACCCCGCCAGCGTGGTGTGGGACATCTCTGTGGTGATCCACGAGCTGGGCCACTCCTACAACTCGGTGAGCTGCAGTACACTATGGTACACTTGACAGTTGACCATGCAGCTGACGTTGACAGTTGATCGCGCAGCAGAGGAGCGCATGTGACATGCGTGCGGCATACGCGTGCCTCCCGACCTCTGCGCTGCCGCACTGCATGATGCCATGCCCCCTCCTGCCCCCTCCCTCCCCGAGCGCAGCCGCACTCACACGATTACTGCAACGTGGGGGGCATCGCGGAGCCTGTGGACAACTGCGCCTCCACCTGCAACACCGCCTCGGGGGTGCTGCCGCCCTGCTCCGGCCCCACCCCGCACTTCAACGGCGGCCCTGGCACCATCATGAGCTACTGCCACCAGCTGGGCAGCTACAACAACCAAGTGGGTGGATAGGGTGGGTGGCAGGGTGGGTGGATAGGGTTGGATAGGGTGGATAGGGTTGGCAGGGTGGGTGAACGAGCGGTCGGGGGGCGGGCGCCATGCCTGCTCCTCCAGCCCGCAACCACGGCGGAGCACAGCTTGCCCCAGCCTGCCCCAGCAGCCTGACGGGCTGCTGCCGCCGCCCCCGCAGGCGCTGACGTTTGGCGTGAACCACGCGTGCGGGGTGGCGCCCAGCCGCATCGCGGAGCGCATGCGGGCGCACGTCGAGCAGCGCGCGGCCGCCTACCCGCCGTGCTTTGTGGGCAGGTGGCCGTCGCCGCCGCCGCCGCCGCCGCCGCCGGCCGTGTGCCGGCCCAGGGGCCAGCCCTGCTCCGCTGCCAGCGAGTGCTGCTCCCGGCGGTGCTCCAAGAGCAAGTGCGGCTGAGCTGGCGATGGGAGCAAGACGTGAGCGTGGATCATTCAAATGCATTCCCTTTCAAATGCACAGCCCACTCATCTGTTCTTCATGCGTTCCCACCTGCTATCTCTGTCCCAAACACTGTTCCACTGTCGTTCAGCCTGTTTCACCCAGCCCTGCTGCTCTACCTTCATCCAGCACTCGCACACACACCCATGCACACCCAATGATGCCCTTCTGCCCCCACAGCCCACACATTCTTTGCCTTCCCAGGCTGAAGTCTTTGACCATCGTCTTACACGCCGCACTCAAAACACAGGCCTCAGCTCTTGTCCTCGCTGCCGCCTGCTGCGTCGCCTCCGCTGCTGCCCGGCGCGGCCTGGTCTGCCGCCGCCGCCGCCGCTGCCTCCTCCTCCTTCTTGCTGTTCTGGCGGTAGACATCAAAGGCCAGCCAGGCGCCCCAGGCCACCAGGTAGGCGCCCCACTTCCATCCGGTCACCTCCTGAGCCTCCTTCAGCATCGCCTGCTGCTCAGCCGTGGGCGCCGCCGGGACGGTCGCCAGCTGCTCCGCGAGCGCGCCTGCACCAGGCACAGCCCGCCAGCGGCAGAGCGGGATCGACTGCTGAGCCCAGGCAGTGCTGCTGGTGACCAGCAAGAGGCGAGCCTACAATGGCGGAGCCCCGCTTTTTGATGCACACACCTGGTGGGGCGGAGAGCTGCACCGCAGCTGCCGCCAGGAGGCCGCAGAGCCCCGCCGCTGCGCCTGTCCCGGGGCTGCTGCCCGGCTTCCAGGCGGTGCAGACTACCGCCTGGCGAGTGCTGCGGGCGGCGCCAGCTTGTGGAGTGCGCTGCAGCGTCGCAAGGCGGGTTGGGCTTGCGCACTGCATGGTGCTGGATGCAAGTGAGCGCTGTCGATGTAACGATCCGGATGTTTGGGAAGCGCCCAGCGCCGCAGTTCTTGCGCATGAAGATAATGGCCAGCAGTGCAAAGCACGCCCAGCGCCGCCGCCGCCACCGCCCCTCTCGGGGCCCATCACTCCCACCGTCTCGACACAAAGTGCTGTGCTGTCATGGGCCACATTATCATGAGCAATGGCACACCATCTTGCTCCATGTGGTGAGGTTTGTGGAGGGCCCTCACTTGCCCGCCTGGCGCCGCTGGAAAGCGCCGCCGAGAACCCTGATTGCTGATGCCTGCCCCATTCTCCACAGCCACAGCCACTATCACGATACCTCTTCCATTCATTCAACCGACATGGCAGAGGCACCACAAGCGAGGGTGGAGGAGCAGGGGACCGAGCAGGAGAGGGGAGGGGGGCCGAGCCTCGTGGAGCGTATCAAGGGCACCCTGGGGCTGGGCACGGGCAGAGACGAAGCCCAGGAGGGGACCAGAGGCGCAGGCAAGTTCAGTGAGCAGCGGAGTGGCAGAGCTGCCTAGGGGGCGCTGCCTAGGGGGCGCCTGCAGCTGCCTGCAGCAGTGGCAGCCTTGGAGGAGGCCCCTGGAGGCCGCCCGAGGTTGCGCGGCAGCCTCGCCGCGGGCCGCGCCTTGCTGACAAGGCCGCCTTCTTCTGCCCCCGCGCCCGCTCCCATGGCTCCCAATCGAAAGCAGGGGCCGAGGCTGGCGCCGGAGGACGAGCAGAAGAGCGCGGGGAGCCCACCAGCGCCACCAGTGCCCCCGCCGCCGTTCCAACGGACTCGCCTCGTACCGGCGTCACCAAGCTGCTGAAACCTCAGGTGGGGCCGCTGCAGCCTCGCTCTGCTCCCACCCTCCACCCCCACGTTCCACCACTCCCTGGGTTGCCTGCGGCGCTTCAGCTGCACAGGCTGTCTGCGCCTTGTGGCACACGCGAGCATTGCCCGGCAGCGCGCCCGACTGCCCCTTCCTGCCTCGCTCACGGCTGCCCCGCCCCTCGCAGGAGGTGGAGGCTGGCGTGGAGGCGCCGCCACAGCTCAGGTGGGTGGCCAGATGAGGGGGAGGGGGCAGGGCAAGCGGTGGGATTGAATGGCCGGGTAACAAAGTTTGCTGTGAGCAGCACAAGCCTGGCAGTCCCAGGCCCGATTCGCCCCGCTGCCCAGCGCATCGCCCTGCTGCCCAGCACTGCCAGCGATGTTGTCGCCGTGCCCGTCAGCCCAAGCTTGCCCTGCCTGCCCTGCCCGTCAAGGGGAAGTTGGCAAGGCGGGGCCAGCTTGTGGCTTGGGCTGGGGCCATCGCTGGAAGCTGCTGGGGAGCGGGGCGGGCCCCTGGGCCCCTGGGGAGGAGTGCAAACGTGCGCTGTTGCAGCTGGCACTCTCGCCACCCTCAGTCTCCATCCAATATAATATATATAATATAATATATAATCGTGGCACCCAGGCACTCGCTGCACCGAGTTCCTGGCTGCTGCTGGTGGATGCAAGAGCTGGCGGGAGGGGGCCGGTGCTGCATGTCAGGCACCGCCCCCCCCGGGCGTGCGCATAACTGCCACGGCTGGGCGCCGTGCGTGCGTTGGTCGCACATGCGTTGCTGCGCCATGCTGCTGTGAAGGCGTGTGGTCCGTTGCGCTTGCCCAAGTTTGTTCTTGCACACCACGTCCTGCCCGCGGCAGACCTGCGTCTGCAAGAACCAGCGGGCTGCACGCGGGCAGCGCGTATTTGCCTGCCTGCATGATGAAGCTAGCGCCCGTCTCACCGGCAGCCTTTGTAGTCAAACATTCTTGTGCTCGCTATCAGTCCAGGCGATAGCGCAGAGCTGCTGCTGCTGCACTTGAGCCACAGAATGGGTCGCCAGCGATGACGCCGCTGGGCTGGGGCGTGGGGTGGGGTCCCAGTGCCTCTTGGCTGCCGACCCTGGGAGGCTTCTCGACAGTGTCAGCTGACCTCGCACCTGGCAACTCCTGGCCTGCCCACGACAGCCAGGAAGGGGCCCATTCCTTGCCTGGTCAACCATTCTGGGCGTTCTCGACCATTCTGGGCGTGCTGTGTGGGTGTGAGGACCTCAAACGGCCGTGACGCGCCAGCTGCCCCCTCCCCTGCCCCGCAGGACTGGCGACCAGGAGGCTGAGGCGGAGCCATCAGCCGGTGAGCCGGCAGGCGGTGCCGCCGCCGCCAGCCCGCGCAGCCCGCCTCCGCCCGGCGCCGGCAGCAAGCCAGCCGAGACGGTGTTGGTGGACCTTGGGCTGGCCGGCCAGCTGGCACAGCGTGCCCAGCAGCGCGCCCTGCTAGCGTGCCGCGCCGCCGAAACGCCACCCGACGGCCCGGCCGCCGCCGCTGCTGCTGCACCCCGCAGGGCGGGCCTGGGAGGCGCACGCGCCCGTCAGCCCGCCCGCGGCTGCAGGGACGCGCCGTGCGGCGGCGCAGCGGGAGGAGCAGATGGAAAGCGCGGCCGCCAGCGGGCCCAGCAGCAAAGGTGGGGGAGCTCCTCAACTTGCTCCGGGTGTGGCTGCAGCTGCTGCAGGGTGCCAGCGGCCCGACATCCACCTGTGCCCAGCAGAGAGACGACGAGACTCCCTGCCCTCGATTGAGCTTCGAAGCACCCTGGGCGCCTGCCACTGTGCGCAGGGGGCGAGGCCCTGGCCGCGCCGGCCACCCCGGCCGCCACCTCGGAGCTGCTGCCGCGCCCCGCGCTGCCACCCGTCAGCACCACGACCACTGTGGCGACGGCCCCCACGAGCCCCCTGGCCGCCACCGCTGCCCCAGCAGGTGCGGTGCAGCAGGCGCGGGAGCGGGCGCCCAGCCTGCCACCACTGCGCAGCCCTGCACCGCAGCCAGACCTGCCCAGCAGCCGTGCACAGGCAGCAGGCTGCCCCGCGCACCAGCTCGATCCACCAAAGCTGGTGCAAGCATACTGCTGGGAGGCGGCCCACGGCCCGCTGCCCAGCTGGCCGCCCCTGCTGTCCCCGCTGGCGCTGCCGGTGGAGCCTGCGGCGCCAAACCCGCCGCAGGGCAGCTTCCCGGCAGGTGCCGCCCCCACGCCGCCGGCTGCCGGGGCCCCCGCCGCCGCTGCTGCAGGCGCCATGGCTGTGTCGCCCAAGGGCACGCCCGCGGCCATGGAAGGCGGCATGACCCCAACCCAAGCTGCCGTCGCCAGGCTGGAGGAGCTGGGGGCCAGGCGGGGCCGCATCGTCGGCGGCGCGGCCGCTGAGGGCGGCGCCGCTGCCGCAGTGGAAGGCGAGGGTGGCGTAGGTGCGGCTGCAGGGGCGGGGCGCTTGATGCAGGGGGTGGCGGCCAGGCTCGGCCGCAGCCGTAGGTGCAGGCTCAAGCCAGCAGCTACCAGCTCCTGGCTTTCGCACACTGACGGCCTCCCCCGCTCAGGCCTGGCAATTCCTTGCCCTGCGTCGCTGTGCCGCCCGTTGCCCATTCTTCCCGTGCAGAGGTGGGCGCCCCGCCCGAGCCCAAGCAGGGCGAGCGAGTGCAGGTGGAGCGGCTGCCGCTGGGATCCATGGCGCCAGCCGCCGCGGCTGGCGGCATGCAACAGGTGAGGCGGTGACAGCCTTTTGGGCTGAGGTGGGGCTGGGAAGGAGCGGTGCTGGGCTGCGTGTGGCCTCGCCTGCCTGCCAATAAGTAACCTGCCTGCCTGCCTGCCCGGCTTGCTGCCCCTGCCAGCACACGCACCTGCCTGCCTGCTTGCCTGGTGCCCTGCCAGCACACGCAACTGCCTACCTGCCTGCCTGCGTGCCCCGGTGCGTCCCCACCTGCAGCTGGAGGTGCGGCCCGAGCACGAGGCCCGGCCCATGACGTCTGCTGAGGTGGCCGGCATGAAGTCCCGGGAGCACGCCATACAGGTGGGGCCCCGGGAAGGTGTTGGGGAGTGTGGCGGCACTGTTCAGGCTGTGTGTGGGAGTGGAGTGGGGTGGGTGGGCTGGTATTGGCAGCAGAAGAGGGCAATTGGAGAGTGAGAGCGGGAGTGGGACGGACACGTGGGGTCCAAGCCTCGGGCTACGACAGGGCTGCATTCGGGAAGCACGGCAGCGCTGGGGATGGAGGAGTCTTCGCAACGGTGTGGGCGCATGGTGTGTCAGGCTTGCCAGCTGCACCGTGGCATGTGGAAGTGGTCTTGGTACGCGCACTGCCGCATGGCGGGGTGCAGCTGGCAAGCCTGAC